GTGTTGAAAGAAAAAGTTGAAGAGGCTAAAGGGGGGTGTATTCTGTATAGGGGGCTTTATGTGAGAGGGAGGGGGGTTTGGGCCCCCCTTCCGGGCGGGCCTCCCCGCCATGGGCCCTTGGGGGGTTTCCCCCCCCCCCCCCTCCCGCCTTCCCATGGTAAGGGGTTTAAGACATACCAGACTCAGCATGTGTCTGAATCAAGTCATCTCCTTCGCCTAAAACCGACTTGACATCTGCGCCAGGAATAAGTTGAAAAGTCTTCTCTTTCTGTGATGCAAACTCCAGCACTATAGAATTTATCACCTCGGCAGCTGCTATAGATGACTTGTCCTGAGAATAATAAAAAGGCACGATGGTTCTTAAGCAAAGATAAAACGTTAATCATGTCATGAGTGTGGACAAAAAAATAACTCTCCTACTGTATTCAATATGATTACATATGACAAACAACCTCTGTGAGTGTTGCAAGCGGGCAATGTAAAACGCCAGTATGGGTCAGGCTCTGCGCCTCTGCCCAGACGATATTACCGCTACATTTGCTTAGAGATTTGTGAGTAACCCCATTGTTTTCTGGCTATCGTACAGTACGGTTCACGCGCACTGAAGCATTACAAGCGTATTTTCATACGTGTAAATCTGCACAATGCACGCAGTTTAAACAAGATACGCACGCGCAAAAACATGTGTGTGAAAAATACACGCAAAAATCCCGGGGCACAAAATACACGCACATTATCATAAACGGGTAAAATTTTTACACAAAGCATGCACATTGCGTTTATTTAGTAAAAGTACGGTAAAAAGGGGACAGAAAAACGTGCAACTTGTTTTGCAACATTGCTGCAAAACGAATTGAAAATGTTAAACGTTTTAGGTTGCTGCAAGATGCGTGAATACTGCCTTCCAACAGGATAAAATTACAAGAGAGGCACTCCATACACAGGAGATGCGTCAGTAACTGCAAAACAAGTTTGCCTTGGGCCGGTAAAACGCCCAACATGTAGAGATTTGGTTCCAAAAAGTGGAACTATGTACACTCTACTTTTGACGATGCTTTTCACAACCCGGCTGCCAAAAACTGATTTGTTGCAAGACAGGTTGATTCGTAGTCGGTAAAACGTACAACTATTGCACTCGTCTTGCAGCAATGGTGCAAAACAAGTTGCACGTCGGCAAAAATCCGTGAAGTAAAAATCCATTAGAGGTTTAATTCCAATCTTCCAAAGAGCATCACATTCCCTTAGATTTGGGAATCTCCCCAGGATTTTAAAAACCCCTAGATGAAAACATTGCGCATATAATTATTTGTTCCTGTTAATAATTCAACGGTTTTTTTAACAGTATTAAGAGTAAGATCTATGATTCATGCTCCTGAAATGCCTCACAAGTAAGAATACATTGTTATTCTTTGTTTTAAAAACAAGCTAATGACAAACCTGTATCGCCAGCTTGCCATCTATCACCAAGTCATGATCATACAGTTGAAACTTGATTGTTGGTGAGAACACAAACAAGTTATCAAAATGTGGATCCTTCATAAAACAGCGCCCACTTAAACCACTTTCATCATCTTCTGGTGAAGGCAAGCTATCCTCCATTAAGAAACCTTCACTCGTAAGTGTCTCTAGTATATCACTATAAGACGCCTTCCACGTGTTCACTCTTGCATAAACCGGCTGTTGTGCTGCATATTGTAATTTGTCTTGCTCTTCCTTCGGAAGTAATGCTTCAACACTTATAGCACAATCTCTTATTCTACTGCGGGCGAGGGCAGCACGAAGTTTGATTCTGTGAGATACCATAGCTTTCTGGATTTCTAAGATGTGCGGAATGCTGTTTTCTTTTTCTGGTATCTCCACTTTTTTATTTTTAAACCGTTCAGTTCCAAAATAAAATCCATTCTGTTGGTAGTCTAACAGCATCACCATGACACGATGCTTATGGTATGCCTCTAACTACAAGATAAAATGAATATTGCGCTTCAAAATTATTCAGTAATGAAACTTACAGTTGAACCCGCCAGTGGTGGATCCAAGGGAGAGGCCCAGGGGGCCTGCCCCCCCACCCCCCCCCCTTTTTAAGACCAAACCGAAAAAAATTGTTTTGGAGACCAGGCCCCCCACTTATCTAAGCTAGGTCTGGATGACCGGGGCCCCCCTA